TAATAATATTACCAAGGGGCAACATGTATATCGAAAATAGCAGAGGACCTAGGACAGATCCTTGTGGCACTCCATATTTTACTGGTGATAATTGAGATGACTCCCCGTTTAAATAAACAAAGTGGTAGCGATCGGACAGGTAGGATCTAAACCATCTTAAAGCCTGCCCTTGAATACCCGTATAGTTTTGTAATCGATCTATGAGTATGTCATGATTTATGGTGTTGAACGCAGCACTAAGATCAAGTAAAACTATCAATGAGATGCAGCCTTGGTCTGACGCAAGAATCAAGTCATTTGTAATTTTAACAAGTGCAGTTTCTGTGCTATGGTGGGGCCTGAAACCTGACTGAAATTCTTCATAGAGATCATTGTTTTGCAAGAAGAAGCACAATTGAGCAGACACCACTTTTTCAAAAATTTTAGACATAAACGGAAGATTTGAAATGGGTCTGTAATTTCCCAGTTCATTAGGATATAGTTGTGGTTTTTCAGTGTAGCATATCTACACTGTCTGAATCGTTCCCTATCTCCTATGTAGTGCACTACGTGCCATTCACCATACAGAAAATACTAAATTTGTGAACAAGTGACTGATTTCAGCCACAGCTTCAGTGTGTATTGATAGTGTAGGGGGCCGGGCGCTTCAGATTCTAGAGAGCATTTGGACAGAAAATCTGATGAGAAGCTGAAGTGTAGGGTGATGTCATCAAAATCGTTGATTCATATTGGCAGAAGTGAGAGACTGTAAGTTTTGAATGCTTATATCTTGTAAATGCAAATGTTGTTATTGTTTTGGAGCACACTAGATGAACTTATGGCAAACATATTCCTACTAAAAGCCAAACAACTTCAATTTTAATTTCATTGGGACTTAAAATTTACAAAATGATAACTGGACACCAAGTTGATAATGTCAAGGCACAAATAAGATTTCAAATCAAGCAATTTATTATGTACCATCAGTATTACCTTTATCATGATCAACAGTTGTGACAATCCTTATTTTCAGCCTGCCCTCCAACACACACAGACTCAAACAACCTTTCATAACTCCAAACAAAATCACTGTAAAACATAATTCAGGCAAACCTGTTTAAGGCATAACAGCAACATTTTGCTTGCTAACAGCCTAGCAGTTTGGGGAGGGACAAATATTAAGCTCCTATTTATTTAAACTGAACAAATGAAACATACTGTATCCCGCAGACATCTCAATGAATTTGGCTACATCAGAAATGGTATAGTCACAAAAAGTTAAGTATTGCTTTAATTTTGATGCTACTTTTAAATATTAAAGGGTTCTTATGTTTCATCTGTCTGGAAAAAAAAATACAAACTTGCATTTCCTTGAAAACACACACACACATTCCGAACATACAGACAGTTGATCTCAAGACCACCTGAGCCTTCTGCAACTTAAAAGTAAATCTAAAAAAACTTTTGTCATCCATCTAAGCTCCAGAACACAGTTGTGCAATTCCGATTTCTAGAAATTCAAGTATTCTGGGAGTCCAGGTTTCCACCATCTTGGTATCAACAACACGTGAATGGATAAAACGCACTGCACAGTCAAATACAGATGACATACTTTACATTCTCATTGTGATTTAATTAGACGCCACATCACTGTTAGATCAACATTCACGTTGTGACAGAACATTTTAACAGTATTGCAAAAACACTTTCTTTTTCTTAATCAAAGGTGTTTTTAAATTATTTGCAGTACAGTTGCAATATTTATGTGACCTGCTAAAGGATGAGAATGTGTCTGCATGCTGTAGGCTTATGGTGGGACTAAGCGTGTGCATTTTGACTTCCAATGTGTATTTGCAGATTATATTTAAAGCTTGACAGCATAACACAAGCAGGAAGATTTGCGTTTGTACACATTTTCCAATTATTAAACACATTCACATGTGTATGCTGCAGTGAACTCCCTACTAAGACGTCTTCACGAGGATCCACAGTTACCAGGAGATGGATGTATCTTGGCACACTAAGCAGTCTCATTTACGATTGGCCTATTTATTCACATGACACTTTAGCCAATCAAAGACAAGCAAAGAGGCTACGATGGAGGGCAACATGCTGCACCTGTGAGGTGCTCTTCTGTGTCAAGCACTTCATGAGGCAAATTGGTGATATGATGCTGTACAAATAAACAATTATTGACAAACAATAAATAGAAAGTTAACTCAAAGTGATTACAGCACCTCACAGAAGCAACATTTGGTGCTGTAGTTTCAGCTGAGGAAACATCTCCACATACTTTTTCTAGTTTTCTGATAAGCGAACCAAAAACGTGTTACTGGGACTTGCAAGCCTGCAGAAAGAAAATACTCAATGAAGCTGCAAGAAAACGGCTTAATATGATTATAGTCCTTGTGATATTAATGGAATCTGTTAGTTCTATCAAAGATCTATTTCAGAAGAACAGTAGATGCAGTGAGGGAATTTTGAAAGAAAAAAGAATTAAACAAATAGTTCCAATGAAATGTCTCAAGAAGTTGAATCCCAACATTTTGTGCAAGTTTATGAGGTTCTTCACTTTTTTCTTGTTTTTCTTCTTTTTTTATATAAAACAAAACTTTTTTTGACTTGTGGGACACAGCTGTATGGTATGATGTGTATAGATTAACATTCGTCTTGAGCTGAACTGTACTGTTCTTTTCATGATCTTTGGAAGACTTTCCAATGGTCTTGTCTTTCAGTAGCATGTCTTTTGGTGCATTTTGCTTCATGACCAGAGGAGGTGCAGTTTATTAAAAGTTCTTCTCTTGTTGTGCATCCCCCTACATTTTAACAAACACTTTCTTGCTGTTTCTTTATTGCATAGATACGTTTATATTAACATCAGTCATTGTTTGGTCAATATATGCATCAGTCTTAAACTAAACCAACTGACCAATCTCCAAGTGCTGCCTTAAAAACTTTATGGACCAATCCCACTTAGCAACTGTTGGCATTAGTTGTTTCCTCAGACAAGCTTTTGCACTTTTAATGAAAGTCTATGGTGGATCTGAGTGATTGGATACTCTTAAAAGCAATTTTACAGATATTATGGTAAAACATTGTTACCAGGTCACTTATAATAGTGGCACGAGGTACCTGGAGCTGATACAAGCTGTATATTTTCTTGATCTAATCGCTAACCACATACGTATTGATTCATCTCTATTAAAAATTGGTGTGTCTCTTTTTAGTTTCCTGTGGTCAGCATCAGTGTTGGGCAGTAACGCGTTACTGTAACGCAGTTACTTTTGACAGTAACTAATACTGTAACGCATTACTTTTTAAATAAATTAACTCCGTTACCGTTACCATATGGTGCGTTGTCCGTTACTTTTTTAAATTAATTAATTTTGGCTGAAGTGTAGCCTACAGCCTAACCTGTTTACAGCAGCGACGCATTGTAGGATTGGTGGATGCCAACCACTGTAAACACGAAGACGCACTGTGGGCGTGTTTCCGTTTATACAACACTGGTCAGCATTGACGTCGGTTTTTAACTTTTTTTTTTACTCATTCATATGCATGCATAATTTAAAATGTAAAAACTCACAGTGTATGTATATCTCTAGTTCAATCTTATGGTATATTCTGTAAAGTTTGTCTGAGTTAGCAACAGTGACCAAGGGGAGTGGAGCTCAACTGACAAATTACTTCCTTCACATTCTATTTGGCCATGACTTTTCTAATCATCTCTCTTTTTGTCTTGCCACCTCAATGCACTTTTTGATGGGCATTTTTCAGGAATTGTCCTCACCTGAATGGCAACTCTCCTCTCCATGCACAATCAACACCGGGAAGAAAAAGGCATCCTGATATGTAGGAGGTCCGTCTCCCTCCCTGGCTTCATCTTCTTCTGCGTCCTCCTGTTGCTCTCTTTCCTCCCCATCTCTCTCACCTCCCCCTCCTTCTCTGTCCACCACATTTGGCACCTCCTCATCCTCATCACCCTCTCCCCCCAGCACTCTTCTGCTCTCTTCGTCTTGTCTAGCTCCCAAACCTAAGAAACCACCTCCCCCACTTGCCTCTTCTCCTCTTGTCGCAAGTCCTCCACCGACACTTCGGGAGTGGAAGAGGGACGATGGCCGAGGAGCTTGGAGCCGTCCTAATGAGAAGCCGCTCCTGCTCAGAACCAGCCGTCCCGGGCCTCCAGGACCACCTCCTGATCCACTAGCTCTCATCCCAGCCATGGTTCCACTCAGCAGGGCTGCAGTCGGGCCTCTCAGCCAGGACGGAAGGGAAGCACTGCTTGTGGTGCGGCGGCAACGAGGACAGTTCTGGAGCAAGTAGGCCGAAGCGAAGGCCACTGGAAGATTTGGGCCACCTGCTGTTGAGTTAGTCCCTTGCCCAGCTGGAGGAGTGTTGGTACCTTGGTTACCCCTGGAACCAGGATCCATCAACAGGGCCTCAGAGTAGCTTGGCACCATCTGCTGGTTGCAGCGAATGTGCCACTCCAGCTCTGTCATGTCCACCGTATTGACACGTGAAATGGCACGATAGCTCGATCCGGTCCCAGGTCCAGGTCTGTGTCCATTCTCGTTGACTCCACCATTCTCAGTTACGTCACCCCTACTGTTATCATCAGCATCACCAAACAATTTCTCTACATGGTAGTGCACATACACAGTGCGATACTCCGCAACAACCCGAAGTGGCCAGGACAGGAGCAGGGCTGAGGCCAGCCAGAAAACTTTACGCCTGGCGTACCAGGGCTGTCTGGCTGGGTCTGGGAAAGCAAGGATGTGCTCACGGAAGTCCACATTCTTCAAATGCATTCCTTCCCGTGCCTCCATGTAATCATCAAGTCCTTCGTTTTCACCAAAAAAACGTGCTCGCTGGGTGAGGTAGGCAGCCTCCGCTCGGGCACTGGCGAAACTAAAGCATTTGGTGAAGCGCAGCCGTACCGCTGGGTAATCCATTAGGCCTCTAAGCTCCTTTGAAACATCTTTGACGCCATACCTCGCATAGTCAAACTCTGAGCTTGCGGCATGCGTGTTCACACGCTCATGATACACTTGCGTAGTGGTATAGGCATCCCCGTTGCGGTAGCGCGTTACCTGTCTTGTCCGTCGCACGTAGTGGTAACTGATGGCCTTCCACCAAATGCACGGCGTTGCTTGCTGCAGCCTTTGTACACGCTCATACACCTCCGCAACCTCTGCTTGAGCCAACATGGCCGTCTTGGAGTAGCAGTGCCAGCATTCCACCAGGTAGACCACGTACAGCATGGCCAGGAAAGCGAGAGGAATATAAATGTAGCCGCTGGAACAGGGACTATCCAAATCCACTTCTAGGGGGATGTAGACATCGGAGCTTGCTGAGGTCGTAGAGGGGTCTCCAGGCTCCACGACAGCAGCCTCGGGCTCTGTCGGAGCTAGCACTGGAACTTTGCACAGCTTGCACCAAGCCAATGTGCCAAAACACCCGAACATGAGCAGAGTGAGGAGAAGACACTTCCAGTGAGACTCTCGACACAGAGAGGCAGCCAAGGACTGCTTCACTGGACGCTGCTGCAGAGAGGTAAGGACAAAGAGAATATGTCAGAGTGAGCATGTGGACAATAGGTTATAATAATAAAGACATATTTAGGATTGAATATTGCTTGGAGAAAAATAGATGTCACATTATATTTGCAAATTACTTGTATGGTTAAATTACACAGCACTCATGGCCTGGCCTGAAATAAATTACATGCACATTAGGTTAAAAAATATAGACTTAATTACTTTATACCAGCCATGAGATTCCAGACAAGTACTTTTTACTGCAATTGTCAGAAAAAGTGTGCTAACCAGTGTTGAGAAGCTATTTGCCATTTGAGAAACTGTCTGCTGTTTTATTTTGGAATATTATTTTTTGAGCCTAATGGATCTCATTATGCAAATTCTTATCAACTGTATTCTGAATTTTTAAGCATTTTTAGTCTATAAACAATAGTGTTGGTTGCAATTCATTCGTTCTCTCAGGCATTCAAAAAGTCCAGCCACGACAAAGAGAATCCTTTACAGTCTGATGCCACAGGACAATGAAAAAGAATGAAAGAATGAGGAATGCTAAATGCTTCTTTCTATGTGTATAAGATGTCAACTGGGATGCAAGTGAAGTTTTCTGAAAGAAAAAAAAATCACAGTAAATCTTGTCCATGTCCATGACATTAAAAAAAATATATAAAACTGCACAATCTAGATTTGAAATGTGCATTTGCACTCTGTCTTGAACACTCTGCATAATGATCTCCTCTCTTCCATAAATCCATAGCCCCTTTTCTTTCAGTATTTTTCTATTAACCAAACCACAAATTCAGAAATTAACACTGGAGTGTAAGTAGCAAGAGGATTATGGCCTCTGAATGACTGGTGTAGCTATTTGAATCATAAGATTCTGAATTTGTGGTTTGGTTAATTGAAAATGACTGAAAGAAAATGGACTATGCAAGAGAGAGGAACACAAAACATAACACAAAGAAAGACATTGGAATATGATACACCTTTACAGTCAGAGAGATAAGTATGTTGGCAGGTAGAGTGATATGTCAAAGCCAGATACTCTGTCAGCATCCTTCACTTGACTTCAGTCTTTCATTATCCTTCAACAGCCTGTGCCACACTAATGCCATACTAAAATGTACAGAAATAGCACACTATCCATTGTTGCCTATTACTGCTGCCATCCAAATTATTTTAAAACTGCATTTCTGATATGACTCACAGCTTTCTTCCCTTCAAGCTGTCTCCATTTCTATTGATCGTCATGTAACAAGAGACAGGAGGTTAACTCAGCACCAATGAATGAATAGAGAAGAGAGAGAGAGGGAAATGCTGTAGTTTGTTAATATAGAGGGCCTGGAGGTCAGTGCTGACTCTGGTCTTGAGCTTTGTCTCAGATTTGTTGACCTAACCGAAGTCATTATCTGCCTTGAAATAACACAGACCTCCTTTGATCAGATACTGTACCAGTGAGAGTACATCTATCAGATGGAATAGCATGATAAATGTTAAAGGGAAAGAGCTAAGTACAGTGGCAGACAAAATGAGAAAGAGGAAGAGACATTGGCAAGAAGGCTGGTTGTAAGACAACAGCCCCAAGGGAAAAGCTCTGCCAAGACCTGAGGGGGGAAAAAAAACAAATTACCCTGTGTGGAGAATATGTATCACTTTATGATACACCGTTGCATTACTTAAACTGTGTTCTATCGGTAACACACTTTCTTTAGTTACATGTTCTGATTAATAAACTAAGACGACAAAAAACTAAAATGTGAATTACCAATTTAATGCATCTTTTACTGCCATGGTTTTCTTATAGTACCTTACAATACCATGCAAGCTTATGTTATGTGAACATGCCAATCATTCGGTACAACAATATTAGCATGACACCATCAATGTACCACTACAATACTTTTTTGTGCAATTATGACCTCTTTATTTCCAAGAGAAAAGAGAGCCTGATTGAGGACAAAGAAATCTAGAGAAACAACAAACTGAAGGTCAGAGATAAAACATATGGTTAACAGGAAATATACTGCAGCATGTTTTCTGTGGAGAGACATAATATAAACTGATCTCAATTTTTACCATCAAAACAATTATGAGACTGAAATACTGGTAAGAGTACAGCTTGATCATGTCATATGGCAAGCTGTTTATATGGCTTATGATATTCCTTATCAACTAGTTACTATTTTATGTTGCAGTAGAGACCTGTATCTTGCTCAGTTTCACTAGTAACTCTTCATAATATTCACTAATAATATGTATACTATAACAGTCACTAATACTTATTCATTACATATTTTATTTTTATTAAGAACTTACTTGGCTGTGTACTTTTTTAGTAACAGTAACTTCAGTTAAAAGTGTTCTAGTATTCTTAGTCGCAACTGAATATACATACACTGGTATTTATTTATTAGACAGTAATGCATTTCTATTGTTGCTTAATCTAACTGGTAATATTTTTTAATTAAATTATAAATAAGCCATTCTGACTAGTCATGATATATGACAAGTAAACATTTATAAGTAAACTGTAACAAGATATGTTGCTAGTAACAAATGGTATAGATTTGTCTTATGAAGGTCTAATTATCTAAAAAGTGCTAGTAAAACTGGAATAAATATGGAATAAGAACTAGTATCAAATGAATACTGGTGAAACTGAAAAATATGCCACTGTATTTATTACTGGACTGTTTACTAAGTAATTAAAAATTGTCAGGAAAAAATGTTAAAACGGCTTGCCATACATGTCGTGACAGTCTTCCTGTGCTCGACATTAATAATGATTGCAGTATACAATACCAGCTAACCTGTCTATGTAAACACAACACACACCATTTATTTAGTATTTGGTAGAATTTACACGCCCTCGTCTCACCTCTTCCCTACCAGCTCCGTTCAGAATGGGCTCCTCTCCATCTGCCGTCGCCTCCTGCATCTTTCCCCCGTACCTCCCAGCCCCACGGAGACCCCGGGGATGGCTTCAGGATGTGGCGGCCCTCGTCCGGGTCTATCCCTGCGGGTAAGTCACCCCATCCGCCGCTGGTCCCGATACGGTTGCTCGAGAGCGGCAGCCTGGGCGAAGTCGCATGAACAACGTCACATTACCCACTCGCACTTTCCGTCTCCTTCTTGCCCTTCACACATCAAGTGCATGCACTTCTTCTCAAATAGTCTCTCGGTTCTGACCATTTCACCATCACCTTCATTGTGTTGGTTATGAGGTTGTTGTTATGACTGTATGTCCAGAAACATGGATGATGGGAAGAGAATGCATCGAGGATGTTATAACGCACGCGCCTGTCTGAATACTGGATGTAGGCAGCAAAACGTCAAAACACATTTCCACTAAAGCAAGCAGCGTCGATCCAAGGTGCCCTACTCGTTTGTTGATATGCGTGTTTCTCCTCGAGAGAGTCAGAGGACGTCGGCGGAGTCCCCCTCCAATCTCCTGTAAGGTAGAGCAGCTGTTACTTCAACACTCCCTTCTTAACTGATGTCACCCACTTTCCCCATACAGCTAGTACCAATCCATTGCACCAATGCCCCCTCGCAATTCTTTCCCTCATTTTAATGCACATTTTGCCTTTTTTGAAACCATACGCTTCAGTGCTTAACTTTTAGGCACAGCAAGTTAGCAATTTTTGTTTTGAAGCATAGAATTGAACTGCAATACTCCAGAGGGGTGAGAAACATACAGACAGCAAATTAGAAAAACTGTAATTTATATCTTTATTACTTTGGACATTATTTGAGTCAACAAATGTACAGAATGAAAATACAATGATTAAACTGAAGTGTTGCACACATTTGTATTTGTAATAAGGTGAAAGCCTATGACAGAGGTCCACACGTACAGTAAAGCTGATATATAGTGCGGCTCAAGGCTGGTCCAAGATTCCTGGAATAATAATAAAAAAACATATACATCATAATATAGCAACTTTAAAAAAAATTAATATTTAAGTCTCTTAGGCTCAACGAAGAATGCATTTAATCAAAAATACAGTAAAAACAGTAATATTGTGAAATATTATTGCCATTTAAAATGTCTGTTTTTTTATTTTACTACATTTTAAAATGTAATTTATTCCTGTGATGGCAAAGCTGAATTTTCAGCATCATTACTCCAGTCTTCAGTGTCACATGATCCTTCAATATGCTGATTTGGAGCTCAACATTTCGTTTTGTTATCAATGTTGAATACAGTTGTGCTGCTTAATATTTTGGTGGAAACCACAACACATTCTTTTCAAGATTCAGTGATGAATAGAAAGTTCAAAGAAACAGCATTTATTTGAAATAAAATGTAGGTCTTTACAGTCACTTCTGATTAATTTATTGCATCATTGCTGAATAAAAATATACATTTCTTTAAATGACTTATCCTAATAAATACTTTAAAAAACATTTTCTTTCGAAATATCTTATTGACTCCAAGACATTGAACAGAAGTGTATATATATAGCTATTCTTCGCAGATAAGCAAGCAAAGCCATTACATTGATTAATTTTAAACAAACACACACATTCAAATACATACAGATAGATAGATAGATAGATAGCACAAACAAATCAAAGAACAAAAACCTTTTGAGTTTTCCATATTTGATAGATGAAAGCAGCTTCTCTTTTTCTGATTCACTGGAGCACTGATCATATGCTTGCAATAAACTACAGAAAGAATGAATGATTAAAAAAAATAAAATCAAGCAAAGCCAATAGGCTTTTCCAGATGATTAAGCAAACCCATGGGGTATTATGACATGACCTTGACATAATGTCATCTGTATGTGTTACCAATCAGTTGTTATAGAATACAGTAATTTTCATTTCATACAGCGAGTAAATGTCTGGTATAGTAGAATATAAATGAGTGATTTAATGAGTGTGTGTCTGTGATAGCAGAACGGTAGACAATAATTTAATGAGTGAGTGTCTGTGATAATGGAATGTAAATTAGTTTTAATGAGTGAGTGTTTCTGCAAAAGTGGAGAGTGAGTCACACCTGCTGACTGTGCTGTAGTGTTCAAGAACAGCGGCTGCTTTATCACCAGAGACTCCACTGATCTGCATAAGCTGTCGTGCAAATACTTCCCGCACTGTCTGGCACTGTGTTTGCATGAGACAGAGATCTTGATTAGAAATAATAGTAGGATTTATGATGGAAAAAAAACACTGAAAAAACATTTTCTCACAGAAATTCATGTGATATCAGGACAACAAAGGTCACCAGCTAATATATATATTACATTAGCTGGTGACCTTTGTTGTATGTATGTATATATATATATATATATATATATATATATATATATATTTATTTAATTTATCAGTATTGGTTGATACTGGATATTTAATTGCGGGCCCTTTAAGTTAGTACTTGATGATAGTAATCTAAAAAAAATATTTATTCTTTAAATGTTCTATTTCAACAAAGGCTGTTTTCAGGACTTTCTCATTTCAAAATGAATATTTAACCATACCTTATTATGTATAATATAATATTGTGATGTCTAAATTCACTTATGCGTCACAATACCAATTTAAATTTTTTGTGTTATTTTTTTATTTTAGTACAGATTTTTTTATATTGTCATTCATCATACCAGCAATAATTATTTTCATGTTATCAGGAAATCATATCGGGCATAATTTTAATATCAGTGCAACCCTACTTTCTCAAATGTCAACATTACCTTGTTCTTAATAGCCCCATAGTTAAATTCTGTGAAGGCCATGAGAGAACAAGAGAGGTTTGCCGTTTGCTCACTCTCATCTCCTCCATCGCCCTCCAGTTCTCTGGAGCGACAGAATAACGTGCAATTCTGACGATGAAAAAAACGAAAGTCTCAATAACAATAAAGCACAAAAAAATCCTTACACAAATTAAGAAGTGCTTCACGCATGCTGCATTGATTTGACTGTAAAACATACATGGTAGAGTTTCTGGAGGTATCTGGTCATGATGGTGAGGTAAGCAGCAGACTCTTTCACATCCTGTACACGCTTCACAAAGAAGCCGTCAACCACCTGCGAATTACACACTTATACAAGCACATCATCATCGTCATCCACTATTTCATGATGGTCTGTATGGCCTGCTGTATACCTGTGTATTGACTATTGCTTGTTGTAATGTACTCTCAGGTAAACTGAGATGAGCTGCCGCTGATCCGCACTCCTCCACTAGATAAATGGGCTTATGCAGACCACACCTCTTCAGTCGAAACTAAGCATGAGAATGCGACAGGAAAAAATAAATAAGAAAATAGTCATGTTTCAGACCTTTTGCTCTCTGAAGCGTCCATCTATAATGCTTCCACACAGATCATCCATCCTCTTCCTCTCAATTATGTAATCAAGCACCAGCTCTTTCCCCACAGGTGGACGCAGCTGTCCTGAGGGAGGACACAATTTAGTTTTTTGGAATTTGTACATGTTGAACCTTTATAATAAAAAAAATAAAAAAACTCCACTATTTTTGAAAATAGGCTGATTTTCCAGCTCCCCTAGAGTTCAACCACAAATGAAAATTTGCATACAATTTAACCACCCGCAGGCCAACTAAGATGTTAATGAATTTGTTTCTTCATCGGAACAGATTTGGAGAAATTTAGCATTACATCACTTGCTCACCAATGAATCCTCTGCAGTGAATGGGTGCCGTCAGAATGAGAGTCCAAACAGCTGATAAAAACATCACAATAATCCAATTTGTTCCAATGAAGAAACAAACTCATCTATATCTTGGATTAACTGAGGGTGAGTACATTTTCATTTTTGGGATGAACTATTCCTTTAAATTGTTAAATTGCTATATTGACAATTTAATTAAAATGTAAAATAAATAAATAAAAATAAAGATGTTCAATATTAAACTTTTTATTACAACAGAAGTACATATCAGTTTAGATAGGAGGGCCTCTGAATATTGTCTTGAAGTCCCAAAGGTTGAGAACAACTTTATATAAATGTCTTCATTTGACCTACTAAACTTTTATTGTGCATTTCTTCTAAGAGCAACAATGCCATCTGCTGGTTATTAACTAGTCCTGAATCTCTGTTAAACAACGGAAAAATTGCTAGTTGACTTACCAGGAACAGGTGTCACTTTCTCACGCGCCACCCAAAGGAAATCGCCCACATTCAGTTTCCTGATGTCAAAGGTCACACAATTCCTTTGCAATTCCTTAACCAATTCTTGTTTGCGACCACTGCTTCCCCTGTCAAGTTCAGAATATCACTGTGATATAATTCTACAAACTATTGTCTGTTTTATAAAAGACAATTCATTAGAGAAACTTGAAATTAAATCTCTTATACTCTCTTTTCCTCTTACCCTGTTGTTTCGATGACGTCGACACACAACACAATGTCATAAGAGCCAGGTGGAAGATGCCAACTCATTGCTGTTCTCCCCGATTCTAAGGTCTGAGATTTTCCTGTGGCGTCTGATTCAGAGATGTGAGCTCTGGCCTGGTTTACAGATAGAGCTGTTGCAAGCCTTTCTGAAGACTTGCTGGGCCTACTGGCAGATGAAAGTTTATACAGTTAATATGCCACTACTGGCACTGCTTCATACCTTCCCAACATGCAAAACATTTTGGACACGTCTTTGCACTTATGCAAAAGCCAACCTGCTTCTACCCACCAACTCTCTTTATCTTCCTGCTCCTCCTCATCCTCCTCCTCTAAAGTCAGGTCTACAACGTCTGGTCCATCCTGAGAGTCCTCCTCTTCACTCATTTGCTCCACATGTTCTTTAGCCATCCCCGACTCTTCTGAATCCAGCTTCTCGGCTAGAGCCAGACCCTGATCGGTCAATGAGTACCTGAAATAAAACATGGAAAGCGAGGGATGAGCAACTGAACTCAAGCTAAAGCAGAAATCCAGGGCTGTGATTGCAGTTTACATCTCACCTGGCAGGATTGTGTGTCTTCACCAGAAGGTCTTTCTGAATGAGTGTGCTCACCGAGGACCATGCAGTGTACTTGCTACCAAGATCAGGCTATGAGTAGGGGAAAACAATATACTTAAGGTACAAGCAGTGGTTACAGTGAGGTTACAGTTCGGCAAGTCTTGTGTAGAAGTGAGCTGTTTGCCTTACCACTGTGAAGGACTTCTCACACAAGGGTTGTGCCTCAGTTTGTAGTTCATTCCTAAACATGAAGCCTTTACTGCCAGGCATCTAGAAAACAAGGGACAAACTTATACCCTTACATTTCATAGAGTGCGTTAGTACCCGCCATTTTTTTAACAGCCTTGGTTCTGAAAATGTACGTAAGTATAACATAAAATGAGATGAAAATAAATGTGATGGTTTTACCTGTGTGTGTCTATACAAAGTGAGCAGTACAGCGTAACCTCCAGACCTCTTCTGCGGCACATACTCTCTCTTTTTCTTAGATCCCTTCTCCTTTCGTACTTCTTTTTGTGTTTGCTTCTGCAAAACGAGTCATTAGTTTTCTAATATTAAACCGAACAAGTACTTGCAACTCGTTTCCTTTTTTTAAACCAACCATATGTTCACTCAAGTTTCCCCAAGGTTCCTTTTGGGGTTCTTCCATCTGTTTGGAGGAAGCCATGTTACTCCTATGGCAAGAAGTAGCCAAGTGGATTGGAGCATCAGAACCTTTCATGAATAAATGAAAAGTTTGTAATTACAAGATTGTAAACATGACACCAACAGATTAAACAACGGTTTGAGATAATGAAAGGTTGTGGATACTCTAAACATTTGAGAGAAAATCACCGTCTGCACTAAACTGAGGTCCCTCGCCGTTTTCCCTATAATGCTTCTGCAGTCGCTCTTCCAAAATCTTGCAGATCCCGTCACCGAAATTCTGCAGGATCTTCGCCTCTTTCCCGTTTTTCAGCGGCAGAGGATATTTTTTCAAAGAGTTTATGGCCTGTGAAAAAGCACAGCATTGCAGTCGCAGAGTTTAGTCAGTTGCTAATGGGTTTATTTACGTGTATTTACGTTCCAACTTTCGAAGCTAAATCCAACACAACCTCTCACCTTCTGGTACACGTACTGCGTCTTCAGGCCTTTCTCTTTGGCGCTGTCACGCAACTCTGTTAACCACTGCAAGAATAGAGGGTTCGGGCATGAAGGTACCGGGCGCTTCCGACCCAAACACACCTGATCCGTCGGCATATTTGCATCGCAAATGCAATTTACATCCTACAACGTAAAAGACATTCATGTTGCTTAAATATTTGTAATGCAACTGACGTAATCTCATTATACAAGAGTGGACACGTACTATATAAATAAATGTATGTAACGTTATGTAGGCTACATTCAAAACTAAACGAGTAGCCTATTTGCACGTTTAGTTATTTGCTTGCAACTGATGTGCTAAAATCCTAGAGTGATCATCTTTTAAAATGCATGTAAATTATTACTATTATTAGATTATCTGCGGGGTTTTGGGGTGCTTTATTTACCTTAGTTTAGCTGGCCACCGCTTCCCCGCCTGTGTTTTCGAAAGTATTGTAGTTACGTCATTTCCGTCCGACGATACACAAGTAGCGCCACTCCAAGGTTTGATGGTGCATTTTAGTAAACCTCAAAACGTAGAAACATGTACGGTGCCCGTGAAGTGCAAAACAAATCACAATTCTGAAAACAAAGTAACAAATTACAAACGCAAATGCAAGTCTAAACGTGTCGTTGGCTTTTTGACGCGATCGACACGGGTTCGATCACTCCTTTTGCCAAACTTTTTTTTTCTCCCTTTTCAAATCTCGTATCACATCGTAAAAGCATTTATTTTCAATAAAAATTAAGGAAATAATCAAAAAGTTGAAAATAAAATATCGGGTAGGGTTAGGGTAGGTGTAGGGAGGGCTTTTGTCCCAATAAGGTGGCATCCATTTAAGCAAAAGGCGGGATCGAACCCGGGTCGATCGCGTCAAAAAGCCATGCACACGCACTTATCCATCTGCGCCACTAGAGCTGGTATTTTACAGCCACTTTTAACTAAATGTAAATAGACACCCCGTATTTTTTATTCCATAGTAAGGGCAATTCATACAATACATTTAAACTGAGCTACTTTAATACCATCTCCGAACTTTCTACCACGACTCTGCTGTTCTTCGGCTGGTTCTTCCCTGTATATGTTGATTGACAGATGTCTCGTCCAGTCAGCGGTGAGTAATCCCAAACCAATGGCGCTGTCTCAAACTATACCTACCTCTTCCAGTTTGTCTGATTTGTCGTCGTGTTTTCTGACTTGTTAATTTGTTTTTGGATTTGTCATTGTGTTTTCTGACTTGTTATAATGCTTTCTGAATTGTTGTTGTGTTTTCTGAATTGTTATTTTGTTTTTTAGACTTGCATTTGCGTTTGTAATTTGTTATTTTGTTTTCAGAATTGTGATTTGTTTTGCACTTCTCTGCCACCGTAAACATGGCATATTGCAAGAGAGTTATCTGGACTAAACATACACAAAATGTTAATTTGGATGATGTTTAGAGTAATGTTTTGCAGTAATATACAACTATAGTGGTTAATTTGCTCAACTTGGGCTTGATTAATAAGTAAATTTCATCTCACTTCAATTTATGTTTGTTTTAAACGAGAAATTATTGTACAGTATTATAGTTTGAAAGGGTGGTACTGAATTTGTTGGTGCTGTTAAAAATAACGGTTTTAAGGCACCTTTGAGCCGTTAATGCCTGATGGGACCACAATGAAACAGCCACTGAATTCCACGAACAAGACCAAACAAGGATCTGGAATCCGCCAACATCCACCCACTGAATCTTTTTCTCTCCTGCTATCTCTTATCCATTCTCTCTTGCATGCAAATTCTAAAATGCTTTATTGGTCTAATCTCCATCAATAACTGTTTGCATGCATGCAATTATGCATAAAAAGTACTTTAAAACATTCAATAATTAAGTTCTAAGTAACTAGTTGGGTTTCTGATAGTATGTTGCTTATTCCTGAAATAATACAAGAGAATGAAACGCACTTCTTTTTAAACCATTAACAAAAACACATTTATTGTGGAGGTATGTTGTTATAGATTGCCACAGAGCCTACTTAATTTATCTAACAGTGACAAGAAATTAAATGTTATTACATTTATGATGCTTTTGAATATAAAAAAAGTACAAAAAATAATAATGCAACCCAAAAAACACAAGTATTACAAGTATTAAAAGTTGTTACATGTGAAAGTAAACGTATAAAATCTAGCAAAAACATACCCAAGAAAATATAAAAACTACACCAGGATAAATATAAATCTTTTTATGATAAATTTATGCAGGTATATATTACATACAGTAGTACATCAACAACACAAAATTAATTTCCTTTCAAAATCCCGTTTTCAAACATTCAGAGACTGCTGATATGTAACTATCAGTCGCCACAGAGTTCACAACAGTATTATTTTAGTGTTGAAACATTGCTACATAAAATCATTGTCCCACACAGTACAAATGGAACTATTTAATGACACGTTCATCTGTGTATTTCTCCTGAGTTGTGTTTCATCTCATCTATTTTAATAATAATATTATTATGTAAACTGAAGTAGTGCATACTTATGCTGTAGACGTTATCGTCTGCTTTTGTGTGTTTCACAGGGAAAAGTACAGCCCGATTCTGCAGCAAAAGTGTAAACTAATTCTCAGCGTACTGCCATTAAAACAGCATTTTGCATGACTTTACTTTCCCTTTTTAAATGACCTCTTCCCTTATTGTCTGTATACACAATGAAACATGAAATCATCAGAAAGCACATTAATCACATCCCTTATATATATATATATATATATAAATATAAATATTGTTTAGGAAACATCCCTCTCTCTAGCTCCCTCCTGACCCTACAGTATCATCGCTATTATGAGAGAGAGGGGAACCAGGTTGGGAGGTGTCATCAGTGGTAGCGTTCACCATTGGTGACAGTCTTCGTGCCCCCTTGGCCCGCAGGAGGACACTGTTTGGATGTTCAGTGTGGAGGTGGCGCAGCAATGCATCCTGGGTAGAAGCTGTATGGCCGCACTCTTCACAGACGTACAGCTTGCTGCGGCGCTCCTTGTAAGCGTACTGCTGCATGACACCATGAATCTTCTTCATGTGGGACTCCAGAGAGCAGCGCTGAGTGAAGGCCTTCTCGCAGACATTACACTTGTATGGACGAACACCTACAGGTGCAACATAAGAATATTCTTTCTTTTTTTTTTCAAAAGTTGAAGATGTTTTGCATGTTGGTATAACAGCACTTTTTTCTTTTAATAATAATTAAAAAAATCAAATTGAGAAGGAAATGACCCTTTTTTAAAATGAATACGATTTCAACATCTTTAGCAATAATACAATTCTTCTTATTATTAATGTTTATTATTAATTGTTAATAATTGTTAATTATTAACAGTTTTCCCACTTAAATTTTTGCGGAAAGTGTGATACACTACCATTCAAAAGTTAGTAAAGTGAAGTAAAGTTAAATAAAAAAAATAATAAAATCTTCTGTTCAGCAAGGACGCATTAAATTGATCAAAAGTGACAGTAAACACATTTATAATGTTACAAAAGATTTCTATCCATTAAAGAATCCTAAAAAAATATGTATCATGATTTCCACATAAATGTTAAGCAGCAAAAAAATTTCAATAATGATAATAATAGACTATTATTAATAGGTTTTTAATTATAATAGCACCCATTAGAATGATTTCTGAAGGATCATGTGACACTGAAGACTGGAGTAATGATGCTGAAAATTCAGCTTTGCATCATAGGAATAAATTGCATTTTTATATATATTCAAATAGAAAAGTTATTTTAAATGGTAATAATAGTTCACAATATTACTATTTTTACTGTATTTTGATCAAATAAATGCAGCTTTGGTCTTTTTTTTTTT